GTTTGTGAAATATGTCCAATCTAAGAGGAAGTTCCTGAACATCTCAGATATTTTTATAAACCTCTCTATACAGTCTATACAGTCTAGGAAGTTCTGGGAGGATTTGTTTTGGGAAGAAGGGTCAGTCAAGAAAGAAGATCACATGCATACACAGAGCCTGGGTGGTTGATGATAGAGAGACCGTGAATGTCCCTGAGATGGCATGCGGCATTCTGAGAACGATACCTATGGAACAGCCAGAAAGCACAATGGTTCTGGTTTCAAGGACTGGAGATTCCAAGGGCGACTTTCTCATGAGTCTTAGCATATCTTGAGAATAGATGTGGGTATGAGCAGCCAAGTGTGCAGTATTGAAGAGTTATAATCATACAGAAAGATAACCACATAAAACAAAAGACAATCTTGAATTCCAGGAAAAGCAGACTTATTCAGAAAAGTGACTTTTAGCATTATGTGTTTTAGCTATGAGAAAAGTTTACACAGTCAATGACATAAAATCTCTGCATTGGTAAGATCAAAGCTACAGCATTGGAATGATGAGGGCTGAAAAGTGTGGCTATGTATTGTCGCGAGGAAAGGAGAGGAAGCTGTTTTAGTTGTTCAGAAGAGAATGAAGAAAACCGGACAAGCAGAGGTCACATCGCAGTGTTTTAATCAGGAGCATTGTGTGGTAGGTAGATCACAGTCAGAGCGGAGTCATCGTCTTCTGGGAACAGTGCCCTGTTTGTGCCATTGCCATGAACCCTTCTGGGCAAAGTGTCTCCTTCTCAGTTTTGTGTCTGTCTGCCTGATTTGCATTGGGTGAAGGGATTTTGCTAGATGAAACAGGTGGAGGTTGACAGTGTGCCAACAGTCCTGTGTTTGTCCTCTGTGCTGCTCTTAGAAGTCCTAGGAAGACGGTCTAAGTTGTTGCCCCTCCAGTCTAAGTCGCCAGAGCAAAGGGATGAATCAGAGCCCTGCAGCCTACAGGTGGAAGGATGATACCTCTGCTACCCCACAGTTGTGTGGTGAACAGTTTATTGTAACAGAATTTCTGCACATTTGTTACTGGGCAAAGGCTGACTCTTACACATAGAAATACATACTAGATTAGCATTTACAGCATGTGATGATTGCCTGTTTGCCAGGTAAGGTTAGTTAGGGGATGAATGGATTGTTTTCACATCAAGCCTTGCAATAGAGTTTTTTTTTTTTTTTTTTTTTAAACCTGGTCTAGTATTCCCTATGTAGATTAGGTTGGCTCTCCAAATTTACAAAGATCTGCTTCCATCTGCCTCCTAAATGCTAAGATTAAAATTGTGTACCATTATGCTGGCAGATTTTTGCTTTTTTTTTTTTTTTTTTGGTTTTTCGAGACAGGGTTTCTCAGATTTTTGCTTTTTAACCAACAAGGAAAGCTGATTAGAACATAGTTATTTGTGGCTGAGTTTATAAGGAACACCTGCTGTTAGGATAGCGGAACAAGGAAGCTGGGATCCCGGTAATAAATCTCTTTATTCGTTTAACTGTTGCCTACTAGTTGATGAGGACAGTCTAAGAACAGAGGGAATTTCATGGGCTTGAAGCCTCAGTGAGGTAAACATAAGGGTTTAGTCTGTCCAATGCTAGCCAAATTTAAAATTTTATGATAGAGTAACAATACATAGATATGATTTTAGATTTTATATTCTCTCCAACATCAGGTTGGTTGTCTGAAAGTATTAAATATCTATATTTGAAATAAAACTGTCCTTCCTATTAGTAAGCTCTCATGTTTAGGAAACAGAGTGCCTTTTCCCTGTCACAGTACAATATAAATACATATATTTATAAATAACCATATAATAAATGTTGCATTCTTTGGGGAAAGAAGTAGTCACAGGAAAGTCCATACACGAATAACACCACAAAAGGAAAGTACCTTCATGCCAATCCTGATTTTCATGTCAGATTTTTGTGTCTAGAAGCATTCTGTTTATTTTGAGACCTGCCACGGGTAATCTGTGTTGAGCCTCTTGCCTGCTTTCTCATTCTGCTCCTGCAGTGTAATCACTGGGATTCCTTTTTGACTCCCATCCTGGAATTCCTTTTCTCACTCCTTTGTGTATATAGGTTTTCCATATCAGGTCTTTTCTTGCCTCATTTTTCTCTTCCAGTTTTGTAGACTATCATCCCCTTAGCCTTCTGGGAAGTCTGTGTGGTCTTCTGTAAGGAGCGCAGAAGCTGTTATCCTTCATAGCATGTGTAGAAGCTGAGCCAGCACTTCTTCTATCATTGAGAAAGAGAAACAAATAAAGTATAGAATCAAACTTTCCTGAGCGGTTTCTTGAGAAATGGCATCAGGAGAGCCTGATCCTGACCAACATGACTCTGATGGTTTATCTTGGTTATCGGCTTGTCTGGATTGAGCAGCATTTAGGAAACTTGGTGATCTCATTGATGCATTCTAACTTTTAATAGAATGTCGAGAACTGTGGTGGAACTGTGGATGTTGGGCCCAACTAGTAACTAAAAATGTCTGTTATTAATGCGTGCAGGGTTCTTATGGCCAATATAGACAGCAACAGAAACAAGTAGACAGAAAGTTAGATGTGTAGGTGAGGGATTCTTTCTGACAGAGGATTCCTGAGGAGGGCCTGATGAAACAGCCTGCCTCCATCTGGTACTTAAAAGCTATCTTATAGTAAAAACAGACTAGGTTTGTTCCATTTTATGATTAAATCTCTGCTTTGCAAGAATTAAGCTAGCCCCACCTGTAACCATAGCTACAAACGATTCTGTATTGCCTGATCCAGAAAATGGCAACCCTACCTTTGTTTCAAAGAGGTTGTTATGACCACCTTGTGCCTTTGCTTCAGAGGGTTGTTATGACCAACTTGTTATGCCCATGTCTGCTTCTGTGGCCCCTACTTATTTGCCTGCTCAATCCCCCATTTGGAAATCCCTTACTCCTGAGCTGGAAAGACCTTATCTTTCCCACACCCAGTGCTGATCTCTTGAACTCTGCCTTAGGGGGACACAGCCCAAGTACACACTAATAAAACTCGCTTTAATTAATTTGTCTATGATTTGGGTTGGTGGTCTTTCTCCACACACCTGTGGGATTAGCAAGCCAATATGGAGATGTTATTCCACCTTCTGTTAATACAAAATTCATTATATTAATGACTTTCCTGTAGGAAATATGTATCTCATGGCTTCATGGCGTTTGGTTCATGACCCCTTTGCTACTTCTCTAGTCTTTCTTTTGCTCATATTTTTCTGTTTTCCACAGACTTAGCTACAGCATAGCCAAGAGCATAGCATCCAGTGTGTTTCAGGCAGGAAGGAACTCATCCTACGGGCTTTTCTCATTATGCATTTTGTGAGACCAGCAGGCTGGCTAGGGAGTGTTCATATTTTTTTTTGTAGTGTGATGATCCAGGAAGAGTGGAGGTTATCAGTCGTTGTTTGAACTTAACCATGGGCTAACTCTTCCCTCTGTAGACATCTCACATACTATAGATAATACTGTAAAAATGTTGAAAGTGTATAGCAGAGGTCTACCAACATTCGTCTTATCAAATGCAGCTCTTGATACTGCATTTAAGCATTCCTAGAAATTCTACCATATAGCACATAAAAATAAAAGGCATGAGGCGTGATGGTCCAGGTGAAATGAAGACTGCACATTTGCCTGTTTTCTTCATTAATTTCAAAAGCCCCTACAGTTAGGATTTTGTAATCTTCCAGGACAATAAAAAAAACTTTGGAATTTTGTGCTGAAAACTGTATTCATTATTGTGCCTTGTTGTTGTTCCCCTTACATGGGGGCTCAGTTGGTAAAGTACTTCTCACACAACATAAGGTCTCAGTACACCGGTATTCCATGCATCCTCACACATAGGTGCACACACAAGCATAGGTGCACACACACATAGATGCACAAACACACACATAGGTACATCCTCACACATAGGTGCATACAGAACAGAGGTGCACACATATAAATGCATCCTCACACTTAGGTGCATACAGACACAGAGGTGCATACACACATAGGTGCATCCGCACACATAGGTGCTTACAGACAGAGGTGCACACACACACACAGTGGTGCATCCTCACACATAGGTGCATGCTCACTCATAATCTTGGAAAATAAACATGCAATGATGCTCTTACCCAGACAAGATTTGATTAGACATTGTTCCTCATCTTCTGTTAATCTTTAAGCTGGAGTCCAGAGACCATTGCTTCAGATAGGCCCTTCTCAATAACCTCACATGCACTCAGGTAACTTTCCTAGGTTTTTCCTGTAGATACTGTTCCAGTGCTGCAGACAAAATTCTGTTGCCAGTTTCTGAAGTCAGCCCCCACTCCAGACTGATGTTACTCTGAGGACATGATTCCTGTGTCATTTTCCTTTATGTCGATGGAACATTTTTCAGAGCTTCAGTGAATTAGGTTGTTGCTTAGTGATTTTGATGTTTTCACTTAAAAATAAGTTATGCGTATTTTACTGTATTTGTGAAATTTCCATTTTTCTATATAATGAAAGATCGAACCATTTGTGTTCAGATGTAAATATTTTAAGAATGGCATATTGATATTCTAAATATTAAAATGAATCATAGCCATGATGGTTTAATATCAAGATATAAATGGGAGAAGGGGATTTGTGTTTTACAGATGCGTGTTTATTAAATGGAGGTTGCTGACGTGGTACTTCCTCAGCCCTTCTTTCAAGTATGAGCAACAGAAATAATTATTGTTATGGTCTTAGACACCCTGGGGAGCCCAGATCTCTGAGATGCTTTAAACTTTCCTATTTGCTCATTGTTTTACTTCATTTTTAGGGTACAAGAAGAATTATTCTACAACACAGTCAAATAGTTAAAATGTTTGCTAATCCTCTGAGTGCTTCCCTTTGTATTTTTCGTTTTTGAAATAAAAGACTTCTTTGTTTCATTTTGCTTTATGTTTTACCAATTGTATTATAGTTTGTTAATTCCTCTGTTTCTTTATTCCTCTGTCCCCAGTGCAGTGACTATGATTTTGAATTTGGAACAGAGTGCTTGCAGTTGGCCCTAAAATACTCTCACACAAAAGCAAAACTTGTAGAAGGGCCCCCCGACCTCTGGAAGGTAAGAGAGACTCGTCATGTGGGATTTCTTTGCTGCATGTAAGTGTGAGTGTGAAAGTGTTTGTGTGAGTGAGTGTGAATGTGTTTGTGTGAGTGTGTGAGTGAGGGTATATGAGCAAGTGTGAGTGTATGTGTGTGTGAGTGAGGGTGAGTGTGTATGAGTGAGGATGTGAGTGTGTGCATGAGTGTGTGTGCGTGTGTGTGTGCGCACGCATATATGTGTGTGTTGTGCTTCCAGTCATAAGAGAGAGAACTCTGAAGTCAGGGAGTTTCATTGGGACTTGTGAGCATCAGTGTGTGAGGATGTTTCTTTTTCTTGGCTTCAAGAAAATTCACCTTGGAATCCATTAGACGTATTTATGGTTTCTCCTGAATTTTTTGTTCTCTCTTCTTTAGTTTATCTATCATTTAGAACAGTATGGTTTCTTACAATAGGCATTATGTTTTTTAATTGTTCTGGGAAAGAGTTTCCTCCATGATGACAGGAAATTACTGACCCAAATTTGGCTTGGGGGCCTGTGAGAAGCCATTCAAAGTGTTTTCCAATGGCAAAGAGTTACCTTGACTGCCTCTTGTTGATCTACATTCTTTAGTCCAATGGCTGCCTTTTGCCACACCTTCTTCATAATACAAAAGGGGTGTGTGTGTTCTGTTTGAATTATGCTTGGTAAAAACATTGTTTCTAGAAGTGGCCTGTTTAAAGTCCCTTTTAGGGTGACCTTGTTTACCACATCTGAAACACTTGACATTTAGATTTTTCTTTAAACCTCTGGACATCACATGTCCTATCCAAGCATCATCATAGTCATGAGATTCAATATTGATTGTATCTCGGATCCATCCTCCAAGGGTGCTGATCTGGCCTTTAATGGCCCAATTACCCCTTTCAATTGTGCATTGGCATTTTCAAAAGCCAGAGATTCAATTGTTATTTGTCTAGCTTCTGAATTTGGTATCAATCTATTTACTGCTGACATCAATCTTTGTAAGAAAGCATGATGGGTTCCTTTGGACCTTGTATAACTTTAGTAAATGACTCAATTTTCTTTCCTACTTCTCAAATTCTGTCCTGAGCATTCAAAGCTGCTGCATGACATAAATCCAGGACTCCTATGTGCTTTGTAAGCACTTCTAAGGCTGTCTAGGAATGTGTTTGAGATCTTACCTTTGTAGTAAGCCAGGTAGCCACTGTCAGAGTTTAGCTGTGTTTGTTGCTTTTACATCCTACAAGCCATAATGTATTACTAATAGAATATTTGTATGGTGTTGCTGTTAGTGTACTACTGATTTCAGGACCACGTGAAGTAACGATACTAATACTATATTTAAATCAGCCCCTGGCCCCCCTCCCCAGATAACACCAGACACCCTACTGAGATATTGTCTGTAAATCCCAAGCTGACACACTTTCAGATACCAGGATCTCTCACCTGGGTAGTAAGTTTATATTAAAGGAGTTTTAATAACCACACATCCTGTTCTACACTCCTGCCCCTTGCCACGTAAATTGGAATGTCTGGTTCTAGGTGAAACTATGAAACCACCAAACTCAGAAAGGTATAAGAAGAGATTCTGATTTTTACCATGTGAGCAGCCCCCCTACTCTTTATCTCTGAGGCTGGGACACTGAACTCTCCTCTGAGCCTAGCCATGCTGGTGTCTCTCTGTGCCTCTCCCCACCATGCTGTCTGTCTCTGATGCTGAGACTCTCAACTGTCCTCTAAGACCCAGTCATGCTGGTGTCTGTTTACCTGGCCACGCCATTGTAAACTTTTCTAAACCCCCCCCCCCCCCCCCGGCTTGATTCATCTGAATCCCTTTTGAACTCTTATTCTTTCAGTAACTCTGAGGATTTTGTCAATCATGAATTAGGTGTTTTGTTAAAGATCTTGATCTCTACCTTTGTATAATTCATTTCACTATCCCACTGAGTCTGAGGGCCACTGGGGGAAAACCTAGTTGAACTCCAAGGCATTGATGGCATCCCTGGCTTCACTTTTGACCTATTGAAGTCATGGTTCTTTTTCTCTTGTCTGAGATTTCATCAAGCTTGTAAAACACTTAGGTTCTGTGGATAAAAAAAAAAAGAAACATATTGCTCTTTTTTTATCCCATCTTCAAATTATTGATTCATTTTTTTGTGATATACTCATATATTATTTTTGTTTGTGGTAACAGCAGAGTCAGTCTTCTCTTAGATATGTTCTGTGCCACATTGGGCTTTCTCTTCTGCTTTTACTAGCTCCTCTGGTGAGTCACTTTGAATATTTTATGGGTTGAATTATTTCTCACGCAAATGTGTATTCATGTTCTGAACGTTGGCATCTGTGCCTGAGAGAGTTGGAAAGAGTCTACAAATGCAATCAAGTTATGATAAGGTCAAACTGAAGTAGAGTAGGCCCTAAATCCAACACAACTGGGGTTCTGCTATGACGGGAGACACGGATGTGAGGACAGTAGCGTGTGATGGTAACGGCAGGGAAAGGCGTGATGAATCTGCAAACTGAAGGACACTGTAGTGTCTCTGTCATTCTCTAGACGTCAGGAAGGGGCCTGGAAGGGATTCCTCCAAACCTCTCAGAGGGACCTGAGGGACTTGTATGAGAAATGAGAAAATGGGTTCTTACTTTTCTAAACCATGCAATTCACAGTGTTCTGTTGCAGTATCCAAACACACAAAGGCTGCAGGAGTGTTACAGCCTTCCTGACCTGGTGGGTATCTATATGATAGCATCATTTTTCCCCAACAGGAAGAAGCTGAAGGCTCCCAGCTGTGAGTTTTGGTTTGGCTGACAATATGCATGAGAGGGTACGGAATCTATAAAATCTGTAATAGGTGGGCTGGGAAACATATCTGTTACATCACTGTTGAGGTTTTAGGTATTACATTTCTTCTGAATAAAGGGAAAATATTCAATATGCAATATTGTTATTGTCCCAGGCTGGGTATCCATCCTTCCAGTATCCTGGCTTGTCTTCTTGGTGCCCTTGATTGGCTGCGAGCTGGTAGCTTCAGTGATCATTTGCTTTGGTGGGACTTGATCCTATTTAAGAAGAACTGAAGTGAATATCTGTCCCATGCCTCCCCCAGTATACTTTTAGACACTAGCAGGTCACACTTGTACTCTGTTCACCATGAGCTAAACAGACTTCTCCTTTCCCAATGTCAAAAATGTCTCCAAGGCATGGGTTTTATAACCAGTTATTGGAGAAATTTAACAACTGCTTCATTGTCTTCCAGTGCATCCTGAGAAGGAGCCTGGGTGTATTTGTGTCATCGCAATATTACTGGGATGAATGACTGGAACTCTCCCTTTGACAGACAAAGCTTTTGCAAATCCCATTGTTTTAGCATTTCAGTTAAAAACAAAGAAGTGAAAGCATTTCTATTCAGCTCTCAACCATTCGGTGTGCTGATATAATGTCTATTGTTGAGATTTCCATACAGCTTTTTTCAAGCTAGGAAATGAAGTTCAAAAATACCCATTGTAAACAAGGGGACTGTGAAACCTCTGACATGACCAATTCATGGGTGGGAATTATTATTAATAATATCAATAAATATTATTATAATTATTATTATTATAGATAGGAAAGAGAGAATAACCAGAGGTCTTTGGGGAAATCTCTAGGACAGAGAGAAGAGGGGTGGACTGATATTGGCTTGTGTTATCTTTCTGGGAGCAGAGAGAAATGTGTAAGAAAGGAACATTCTTCTGAGTTATAAAGAAAAACCCTTAGCTGTAGAGTGGGGTGCCGGGGCGGGAAGGGCTGCAGGCCTGTGGCTTAAGTGTGTTCCTAAGAACACACCAGCAGGGAAGTGGCTCTTCCTGGCAGATAGAAACCCGAGGAATGATGACATGGAGCAGCCGTCTTTCCATAGGGTATCTAGAGCTAAGCCAAGACTGTCATTTTGGGGTTCCCTTTGGACTTAACACTGGTGTCTAATGAATATTCTATGTCTTTCAAGTGTAATAATTAATAGGGTTTTTTTTTTTTTTTGCCAAGTAGTGGATTGATGTCTCCATTATCTGTAGCATAATTAATAAAAACCCAGAGAACAGAGGTTGGGATTCAACCTGAAGGTCAGAAAAGCAAACAGTTAGCCATTGGTTCTTACCTCTACCTCAGTCTGAAATGGCGATTCTGCCTCCAGGAATCCTCAGAATGAGACTGTGTGAGAGCTGTCTCCTCCTGTTTTATCTTCCTCTCTAGGGCTGGCATTAAAGGCGTGTACCACTACCGCCCGGTTTCTATGACAACTGTTGTGGCTGTTATAGTTATGCTGGCCTGCCCTGTTACCTGGGTATCCTGTTCCTTTAAGAGACAACTCACACCCCCCCCTCTGTGTTTTTATCTTCTGAAGAGGCAGCCCCTCTCCCCCCCTTCCTCTCTTTCTCTGTCCCTCTATCTCTCTCTTTTCCATATCCCCTTACCCTCAAACCCTCCCAAATGTACAGGCTAGACTGACTGACTCTTCCTGTACAGGCTGCTCTCAGTGATCTTCAGGGCACCCCCAGAGGCTCCAGTGAGCAGAGTTTGAAAACCAGTCAGTGAGAAAAACATCAACATGTTAGTCCATTACTGCAGGAGTTTTTTTTTTTTTTAAAGTAATTATTGCCAATAGTTGGGTATTGTGCAAGGTCAAAGGAAAAGTACAGATCATGCTGACAGATGAAAATCAGCTTCAACATTTGATCTTACCCAAAAGGCTGAGACGTGCTGAAAATCAGCTTCAAAACTGATTGGTAGGCTGCTTTTGTAATGTTTTGTTTGCTTAAAAATAAGGAAAGGACAACTCAGTTTTATAAAAAGTTAGAGAAGTGAATAACACATCATTTTAGAATTATGACATTTTCCAGTAATGTTCCCTTTGAAGTACATTAGCTGTTTCATTTAGGGAAAAGCAGATTTTCCCTCTAGCTAATATCTGGTTATGTAGCTCACAGCTCGGGCAAGCCTCAGATCACTGTGTGGACTAATTTGGCCTTATTTCCCCTCCTCCTGCCTCAGTCTCCAGATGCTGGGATTGCAGAGGAGTGGCCCTATGGCTGGCTTTCAGTCAGATGTTGATCTGAGTAAACAAATCATCAATCCTTATGTAGCCTATAATGTGGAGACAGGAGAAATAAACTTAAGAGACTTTTAAAATTTAGTTTGTGAATATTACTTTTTAAAATAATAACCCAATTATTTTATTCATGAACAATTTCAGTGTTTTAACGTTTAAGAATTCTAAAAGCTATTTGAATATTTGGTGATAAACTTACGTAAGCTTAAAACTCTACTATTAATATTAATTTGAACTGAGAATGTAGCTTACCTCTGAAAGCCAGACAAAATAAAAAATGAATAGTTAGCTAAGTATAGTCTTGATTTCTGTCGGGAGTTTAAACTATACAACAGATAATTACTGCACAAATTATCTCTTTACTTTAATCACAAATAGTAGTTAGTTTTGAGTTTAGATATCTGGCTAAGAAAGAGTTTAAAGCAAGGTGCGCTCAGTGTCACAGTGAGCCCTTGGCTGAAGTCCCTCCCTGCAGGTGACAGCTGGCTCCTTTCATTGCCCGACTGCTAGCACTTTGAGCAGCATCCAGTGCATTTTTATAAATGTTTATTGGAACCAGATCTATTACATTTGGCAAATCTATAGAGTGAGCTTGTTCTTCTTTTCTGGAATGCAGAACTGGACCGTGGGTTGTAACTGCAGCACCCAGCGTCATGGCTATCGGTGAATCGTTCCTTCTTTAGGGACAGTGTAGCAGTCCATTAGATTTCAGTGAATTTGTTAAATGCTCCAGTAGCCTTCTGTTCTCTTTTGAGTTTGTTCTTACTGCAGCTCTGAAGAGTATGGCATTACTGTAGGGCGAGGGTGCAACAGGTGAATCTAATTCCCAGAAGTTCCCTGGTCTACATGAGCTAAAGAAGAAGACATCTCTACAAACCCATGGATGAGATGATTTAGGGAAAAACATATCTAACTTAATAGTCTGGGAAGGTACGAGTGAGATTTGTCAAAATGAGGTTTAAATCATTGGCATCATGAATCATTTGAGTACTTCATGAGCCTATTGGACCTTACTGTAGTTACTAATACTGTTTCATGGTTCACTGTGCTCTAGTTCCTTATTAGAAGAGACCGATTCTGCAGGCGCTCTGAACTCAATGATGGCCTCTGGGAAGGGTCTGCCTTAGACCAGACCTACATACCATGACAGGGTACTTGAAGGTGAGCAGAGTGAGAAGCTGTTTGCCCTTAAGACTAGATCTCCGTTCTTAGGCACACTGTGGCACCCCATAGATAAGTTCTTATAGTAGCTGGGTTTTAAGGAAAACCTCACAGGGGGCAGCTAAGCTGTTTCATAAAGACCGTCTAGTTCAGGGGAAGTCTCTTTAAATGCAAATTAGTTTTCGAGAATTTCAGTGGAGAATGGAGTTGATGACTTCTGTTTTATGGAGACTCCCTTCCTCTTCCAGTCCTCCTCCTCTCTTCCTTCCACATTTCCCTCCATCTCCCCTACCTCCTTCTTCTCCAATACAAACCCTTATAAAACAGCAATGTGGATACTTTTGTTTGAACACTTACACGTTTTCTTTGATTATAAATCCCTAGGTATATTAATCATATTTCAGTAATCTCTGCTATATGCTATCATAATTTATTCAAAGATATAAGACTCAGATCTTCATAATTTGGTGAAATCTTTGATTTAATATTTGGAAAAGGCCTGTGTTATGTGTGTACCAGAAGGAAGAATTTCCTTGGGGGCATTGCTTTATTGCTTTCCCATTCCTGCCTGCTCTGAGTCTAATGAGGTTTATCTGTCCTCTAGGTGACCTACAAACGGGATCTGCACGCAGCCGAGTCAGTGATTAAGGGTAAGTTCGACCTCGTGATTTCAGCTCCAGCATCTCAGGAAACGTGAGCTAGCTAAGGATTTCTCAGGGCAGTTAAATCCCAGCCATCTCAGGAGAGCAGATGCCTGGAGGCCACGGAGCTCTCTGATTGTGTTTTGAAAATAATTGCATTTTGTTTTGTTTCCTGCTTGTGAAATACCACTTGTTATGCCACATTGACTTTAATTTTTATAAACGACTTCAGCCTATTAAGTATAAAGCATCAATACTATTGGAAGGACAACTGTAGAAACTGATATTTCGATAAAAATTGAGACAGTCCCTCTGTTTCTCTGCTTAGAAGGCTGCTTCTGCCCCTCAGTAAGGTTCTGTCAGAGCACTGGGGAGTGTGCTCCGTAGGACAGTTTGCACAACCTAGAAAACTTGTACTAGATAATTGGTAAAACAAAACAAAAAAGGAAACTTATTTTTTCCTGACAACGACTGCAGTATTTTTTTTTTTTAAGTGTGGTGATCATGTATGTGGAAACACCCCTTCTTACCATCACTATAACCTTTATGTTCCCATGTGGTGTATTTGATAACCACACAGTACTTATGACTCTGCTGGGAATGGAACCAGCACACAGAAGGAGCATTCCCTCTGTGTTCTGCAGGCTCTGTGATTTAAATCAGAGTTTGCAAGCTCAGCACCACACTGGCAGCACAGGCCAGCTGGTCCTTGCATTTCAGGAGGCCTTTGTACGTTGTTGAGTGGTCCCCTAGTTACACCGCGTAGATGGCAGCAATGCCGTACTCTTTCCTTTACACCTGGACTGTGACCATGAAAATATCTCTTGAAGTTGTCAAATGCCTGCCACAAGGGATAAAGTTGGCCCTTCCTGAGAACCCTCTTTTAAATACCCAGTTTGAACCCCAGTCTTAAAAACTGGAGATGTTCCCTCTGGCCTCGAGACAACAGGAAGCTGCTGACTGTTTCCATCAAAATTAGCGTCTGGGCAAAATGATATGCTTGAGTTTTGGCTGAGAGGTAAACTCTAATTTCAGGGTCTTGCTGGGCACAGAAGAGCACAGTTTTGGTGTAGAGTTTTCGGGAAGCAGTTAGCCTCAGATTTAGAAAGCTGAGCTCTTCCTATTCAGGATGCTGTTTGCAGTTACTGTCAGATTTGTTTCTCTTCAGGAGTATTTTGTTTCAAGCTATTAATGTTATATAATTTGTTTCTGTGTTTGTAAATAGTTAATCTATAACCATCCATCAAGAAGTTGACATAGATTTACATTATCAGTCAGGCGATGTGTAAATACTTTTTTGTGACTGGCTGGCTAAGCCATACTGTTCTTTAACACAAAGACATAGAACACTCAGTTTGATTTGACTTCCAGGTAAGTTCTGCATTGCTGAAGTAGAGTAGTGCTGTGATGTGAGAATAAGTAGCTAAGAGTCTCAGCTGCCAGTTCTTCATCTTGTAATACTTTTCCCACACATATCATAGCCAGCAAATATGCAAAAATCATATTTTACGTGGTTTTCTTCTTTAGGTAATAGTTTCTAACATTCTATTTTCAAAGTGTTCTATTTTATCTTGGGAAAGTGGTGTGATCTGGTCAGGTGTAAGCAGTTGATTTAATGGTAAACTCAAAAGTTTCCTGATTCTTTAAGGCTTGTGTTTTTCAGAAATAGCTCAGAGGAGATTCTGAGCTTGCTGGGCTTACGTAGGTCTACATCTCTGTGGCCTTCATACTGTGTACACAGCCAGGCCAGTAGTCATGTGACTTCCTCACACCCTGAGATTCTTGTCTTCATTCAGTACCATGCTTTGGGACGAATCTGTTTTCATAAGCCCAGGTAATTGCGTTGTACATCAAATTCAAGGGGCATTTTTCTAGGCTGCCTCGTATGGTCTCCCATAGACCACATCTATCAAAGCTAGTTTTACTGCGTTATAAGTTTGGAATCTTGCTATCATATTCCAACTCCAAGATTACACTCAAGATTGCTACCTTCTTCAGGGCTTGTACTAAATACCAACACTGGTAACTGAAGTACCTTGAGAAACAGGAGAGAGAACTTTTGGAGTTTTCCTTTTGAATTTTTGAAGTTGTGAGATGTAGTAGTGGATGGTAGTATCCACCTCAATCCCAGTGCTGGGGAGACAGATGGAGGATCCTTGAAGCTCACTGGAAAGTGAGCCTAGGTGAGCTCAGGTTTAGTGAGAGCAACTGTTCATGACACCCAGTACGTGGCCTATACATACATGGCCTATGTACACATACCCTATACACATGTGGTCTATATACACATGGTCTATGTACATGTGGCCTATACACATGTGACCTATACATACACGATCTATACACACGTGGCCCATATACATGCGGCCTATACACATGTGCCCCATACATATGTGGTTTATATGCATGCGACCTATAGGTACATGACCTATATATACATGGTTTATACACACGTGACATTTACATACATGGTTCACACACATGTGGCCTATACATACGTGGCCTGTACATAACTGCACATCCACATGTACTGTTCGTCCACACACAAACATGCAAATTTTAAAATATACTGTGGTTAGCAGAAGTCTACTAAAAACTACTATTCTCAGGCTTGCCTTTTCCAGCTTTATCAAGTGGGGTCTGTTAATTTCCCTGGTTGAGAATAAGACAACTACCATGATTTTAAGCAAAATTTGAAGCAGGCTTTAATTAAATACTGGCCAGGATGATGGTCTCTGGCGAGGTCCATTCTGGGATTCCCAGAAGATAGTGACAACCCACATTTTTCAGAGGTGTATAAATGCAAACCAACAAGGCTCTGCATTCCCTCCGGGTCCAATCAGGGAAAAGCATCCATCCTAGCATCCTTCCTGCCTGTGTACCTCCTGCGCACATCCATTCAGGGCCAGGCACTGTTTCCTGCCTATGACCTCCCATGTGATTGGGCACAGCTTGTGCAGTGGGGTCAAACAAGCTTGTTCATGCGAAGGAAAATGTGTGACTTGTTATCTCACATAAGCAATAGCCTCCAGCATTTCAGGAAGTATCTATTCGTGGGCAAGGGGCATGCATGTTAGAGGCAGTTTCGTCTTATGGGTCTTTTAGGCACAGTAGTTGAAATTTAAAACATAACTTTATCCATCACTTTTCCGGAGAAAGAAATATGATACACACAGGAATAGATTGCAGGAAGAGATTCAACTCAACAGTGGTAGGAAGATGGGCCAGAGACATAAATCCATTGAACTGCCTGCTGCTACCCTAAGAGGTTTTTTCTGAATTCCCCTCTAAGGTGAAGTTTAGATTCTTGACTTTGCTGCAAAAAGAATTTTAGAACAAGTCAGTATTAAACAGAATTGGAGTTTATAAGAGGTGTTTAGGTCATGGTTTAGTAGAAAAGTATTCAGGGAAGGGGTCCAACCCCAGTGTGGGTGTGGGCTTCTCATGCATTTGATGTCAATGTATTTTGAAGTTCTGTCTTTTCAAAGTTGCTAAGGAACTTAAATAAGATCATTGGGTGGTTCCTGAGATATGCAGACCAAAGGACAGAAGAACAAATTGCATTTGATACTGTAAAACCCAAGATCACAAGAATTTCATGGGAAGTTAGTTAAGATGTTTCCACTGTCAACAAAAGTTAATAGTCTTGCTTGTGAGACTCACAGATAATATCTGGGAGAGGAATAAGGCAATACTTGGGGGCATATATATGCCCGAAGCATGTTTCATTGCTGTCTTAATATTCTTAGGTGTCTGTATATAAATGAATATTATCTTTACACTAACAACCTTCAAAGCACATATCAGTAACTGTGGTGAATTCTTGATTCCCAACTGCTTGGAGTCTTCATCCAGACCTGTGAGTGAGGCACTCCTCCCCTTTTCCATGTCCCTTAATCTTCCCTGACTTATGACCAGCAAACTAGAGGGTCAAAGAAATATGTGGTGTTGTGGGAAAATTCCAGAGAGCTGGTGCTAGGAAGTTGTTTGGGGAACCTGAGCATATATTCAAAATATTTTTAATTCCTCAGTAGATATGGATCATTGCATGAGGTGTCCAGAAAGTCATTATACAAACACAGAACAAAACTACTGCCTCCAGAGAGCAGTTACCAAAGCTATGAAGACCCTTGGGGATGGCACTCACCTACTTGTTTCTAGCTATTTTAAGTTCAGGACTAATTTGTAACAAAATTATATACCAAAAATAAGTATTTTTATTTTAAGAATTTTATGGATTTCAGTGTTGCTAACAATGTTAATATATATTGAATCTGTTTCAGATTATAGTTCAGTAAATATGTAAGGAATATCTACTGTTTTGTTATTGTGTTGGGTTTAATAATTGTATGGTAACAGATACAGGCATAGTGTTTTTCCTTGAAGATTTAAAGTAATAAGAATATATGTCCTTCGCCTCCCGCTTTACTGCCTTTCTGCTTGCAAAGGATGCACAGCTGGATTTGGTCTGTCTGTCTCTCCTTCTCTATGCCATTAAAAGTACTGCTGTAATGTAGAACTAGTCTGATATGTGTATGCTGTTTGAGGGCACACAACACTCATACCAGGTAGCTCATATACGTTAGCGCATTGGTACTTCAAATAACTTTGCTTCTCCCAATTTACTGGTAGGAAGATTGAGATGAAGGCATATTCTTCTCTGTTTCAAAATTGTTAAGAATATTCTCTTTGATTGAAATACAGGCCCACATTATCCATACAACTTTTGAGCTCATGTCTTCTTTTCACTCCCAACTGTGCAGACCCACTTGCCAACATGAGAGTTGATCTTGGGTTTGAACACAGTCCACGAATGAGGAGAATTCTGAGCTTGTGAGAAGAGTTCACATGAACAGATGAGTCTGTTCCTCCGTAGCGTAGATTGCTCTTAGGTGTGCTTTCGTGCCCCTCCCGGGTCTAGTAATAAGAGTGGCTTTGCTTCAAGACTACCATCCCCTTACCTATTATATAAGAATGATGTTTCTAAGCATGACTTGTTCTTTAGAAGC